TCTCACCCTCGGGTAATGCTGTATTTAGTTGATATTTTGATAACTAACAGCTAGACTGTGTCTTTTTGTTGATTAAGGTATGTCACCCAGAGATGTTCAAGTTATTGAACTGCATGACTGTTTCTCTACTAACGAGCTCCTGACATATGAAGGGCTTGGTCTTTGTGCTGAAGGCAAGTTTTACATTATATCTTCTTCACCTGACTGATGAAGGAAACTGTCACTTTCTTTTAATCAAATTGTGAGTGAATCACAAGCTGTATACAAAAAGTCATGTTTAGCCAAAACATCATTGTTAGCGGTACATTTTATGGTGTTAAGCCAAGAAAAATATGACGTCCAGGAATTATTTTATAATCAACTTTAGGATTAGAAGATATTCAAAGCAATCATCTTTATCGCTGTTAAAAATTAGGGTAGCAAACTCTGACCAGTGAAATGTTTATTACTTCAGGAAAAGGAGGAGAATTAGTCGACAGAGGAGACAATACATATGGAGGCAAGTGGGTTGTAAACCCCAGTGGAGGGCTCATTTCCAAGGGACACCCTCTAGGGGCAACAGGTAACCTTTGACGTTTGAAACTTGCACCATTTTTAAGTTCCTCTTCAGTCCCATTGTTCTACTGTATTTATCATGAACAACTGAAAAATTGTCAGTTTTCAATTTCTTAAAACAGAGTTTTTCGTGTGAAGAAAGGAAAATTCTTGTTATCAATGTTTGTTTTTTAATGTTGTAATGCATGTAGTACTGGTTTTCAATAATCAGTGTCAATCGAAATCAATTTTAGTTTACATTCTAAGTTTGATTTAGGAAAGTGTCACATTACAAGGCAACAAATACAATGCAGTGGTTTATAAGATTGGGCACTGCAATTACATTGGTTTTTAACTTCATTCAACTCTCAATTGAAGGTTGGAACGAAAATATAAATTGTAGCTGAATTCAGCAACAAGGAGCTATATTCCACCCCTGAAAATACCTTTGATTACAAAAACACTTGAGTTGAATGGTCTCATTTTAAATTTGGAGATGAGTTTTTATTTTAACATCACATAATTGCTCGAGTTGTGGCACTTACATATGCATAGACCCTTTGCATAAATGCTGCCTAAATTTGAGTAACAATACGTTGTACATCCTTAGCCTTGTACTGATGTTTCCAGACAAACGATTTTTCACATGAACGTGAGGCTTAGGGTGTATAAGTATTGTTATTCAAATTTAGGCGCCATTTATGCAAAAATCTATCAGGTTTTTGCCATAGCATCTTAATTTGTTTAAAAGATAATAGCACAAGATTCGTGTGAACAAAGTCTGGGGTGAGCGTTTACTTCACTTCAGACTTTGTTCTCAGCGCACTCGTTTCACATGTAAGTTACAGGGTTTCTGTGTTTTCATTCCAGGCTTGGCACAGTGTACTGAGCTGTGTCGTCAGCTGCGTGGTGAATGTGGTAAGAGACAAGTACCAGGAGCTAAGGTTGCACTCCAACATAACCTAGGACTGGGTGGTGCTGTAGTAGTGGGTTTATATCGATTAGGATTTCCCAATCAGAGAAGGTAAACTATTCAGTAAGGCGGGCCGGAAATAAATTTAGATCATTAGATTGGTTTTCACTTGAGTGTCGAGAAGTAATTGGGTTTGCATGCATTGCTACGCTACACGATTGGCNTAAACTATTCAGTAAGGCGGGCCGGAAATAAATTTAGATCATTAGATTGGTTTTCACTTGAGTGTCGAGAAGTAATTGGGTTTGCATGCATTGCTACGCTACACGATTGGCTTAAAAAAAACCGCGCCACTTTTTCTTCCAATCAAAAGTAAAACCCAAACCAATCGTGACTCGTTCACACACGTTTTCCCGCGCTTTACGCTACGTGTAATTACTTCGAGTTTTCATTGGCTCACTGGATTGTTTGCGTCCTTTGTGATTGGCTAAAGTGGTTACTTTGGTTTTGGTTTTACGACACTGAAAACCGTTCTATTTGGTTGAAATCTAGTGTAAAGTTCCAGAAAAGATCCACCCCGACCCCAAGAGGTTGATTGGAAATTCCAGGGGGAAGGGGAGGCCTCCAAGGCAAACATTCTTTAAGGAAAGTATGATCCAAAACTCAGTGGTTTCATTAACCTTTTTTTAGCAGGAAAGTAACTGGTTTTCACAGGCGCGCAAAACTATTTGAACTGAACTTCTTTGTAAGAAAACCTTTCCTCTAGGTGGTCAATCCAGGCAGGCAAAATAGTCTTCACAGCTGGTCAATTTGCCCGGTTCCCGGCCCTTAATGAAACCCCTGAAAACTGACGAATTTCCAGAGGGATAGTTAAATTTTCTGGATCAACATCACAATGTGGAAACGAATTGGCGTTCAGTTGTTTAATAGCTTTAAATGTTTATGGATGGTATGGTCAGGTATTTCCTTCTTGTTGAACCAGGCAAGAAAATTAATGTCTGATTTAATATCGGTGTTTTCCTTATGTATTTGTCATTAGGTATCGTCCTGTACCTTCCTATACCTCAGCCACAAGTAAAGAAGATTTCAAGGCAGCAGCAATATTCGATGAAATGGAGAAGATGTTGAAGGGGGTAGGCAACAGAAGCTTTTGAATCAAGTTATTACATGTATCATTTATTGTATAAAATAATAGTTATGTAATAGTCTTGCAGTACATATATCTCATTAAACCTTCTATTATTTATTACTATAAATCTTCTCGCGTTCTATTCCAAATGCCGTTCTCTTATTGGCTATGCTACTCACTATCTGTTCTGTTGTCAAAGTTAAGGAGTAGCTTGGCAGTGTGAAGTTGTTCGCAAAATGGTGACCGCTTCGTTGCGCTTTTGAAGTGACTGAAGAGAGGATTTTAAGAACGTTTTGAACAACTAGTAGATTTATACTAAAACAATTTGGTTATTAGGATTTTAACTTTTAGGATTTAGGATTTTAGGTTTTTAAAGGATTAGGATTTTAATTTTAAAGTATTGTAAAGCTCCATGGACAATTAGTGGAAAATGGCGCTATATAAATGTATATTTATTTATTTTATTTATTTTATTATTCGCTCTCGATTTCTATGCGTGATAGAAATCTCAAGCTCATAATCTAATTGTCAACCAATCATGGCCACACTCCAGATTTCAATGGGCTTCCTCGTGCCACTAATTTGATATTTTATACTTGTAAACCTAGGATGGCCCTGCACTGGTAAAGAAGATCAAAGGAGTTTATAGATTCAACATCAAAAAAGCTGATGGGAAAGAAACATGGTGGATTGTAGACGCTAAGAATGGTGACGGTGCTCTGAAATACAGAGGGACAGGTAGAGAACTTGTAAAGTCTTTCTGTCAAAACATTGAGTATGTCTGTAATTCTTATCGAAGATTTAACCTCGTGAGACTGGCGTTTAACGGACTTATAACACCATCGACTGACTAACGCTATTCACTTGACTCTAAAGATGACTTCCGATTAGTTTGTCGAAACGTCAGTCACCATCAACAGTTCTTTTCAGAACTAACCTCACCCGGACAATCACACTATACGAACTACTGATACTCCTGGGCTCAAACCATTTACTTTAAACATTTTTATCATCTGGCCTAGTAGCGAATAAGACTGGTCTTTTCTAGTTTCATACGTTACCTTTTTTAAGGTATGATTGAATTGGCCACATTCCCATCTAGCTACCTAGAGTACTTACAAGGGTATTTTGGCATGCCCTTTCTTTAGCGCCCGAGTCTGGGCCCATTTGTTAAAGGCACTAGTTCCGTTCCCTTGCCTGGCGTTTTTCTTTAGCTGCGGTAGGACTGCGGCAAAGAGAGACTTTTCAGGCCGAGGGATACATCGCCTGACTGTTTCAAAATCCTGTGACATTTTTCGTGAGCAACAAATGACTCGTTTGTAGAGGCGGGGCTTTTTGAGTTTTTTCAATTGATTTTTTGTAACATTCATTACGCACAGACATTTTCCCGCCGAAACGCGCGTCCGGCAGCTAGAGCGTGCGCATAGTTTTTGTCATTTGGCGCTGGCCTAGTCTGATCATTGGCTGTTACTAACGAGACTCCTCGCGACACGAATGCATCCTTTCCGACGAAAAACAACTGCCTCGTGAAAGCTTGGTATAATCCTTTTCTTAGACTAGTCACTCAGTTATTTTTTGTTGACCGGCATGTTTGAACTCTTTTGACGGCAGACAAAGCTGACTGTACAGTAACCATGAAAGATGCTGATTTTGTGAAGATTATGAGTGGAAAGATGAACCCACAAACGGTGAGTCTGTTCTTCCTAATGTCTTCCTTACTCTATCCTACAGTGCAGGCGTTTTCCGTGTGTATATTATCTCGCGATCGAGTAGATTCGCCATCATGTTCGATCAAGAAAAGTGGGTGGGGAGGGGGTGGGGATGGAAGAAGGGTAAATTATTTCTTCCCCTCCCCTCCCCTATTGCACCTCTTTCAGCCTCACTCCTAAACTCCCTGGGACGCCTTTTCGTCTCCGAGTCTGAATCCAAGATGGTACCCACTTGATCAAAATGCGTCGCTCGCCAAAATACGACTGCATTGCAGGCTATCCTTATTCTCATTTTGAACATTTTAGTTTCTAAGAGCGATGAAAATGTAATTTCTCCTTGTCATGTTAGTACATTATTAAGCAGGATGTTGTTCGAAAGCGGATTAAAAGTAATCGAGGATTTAAATAAATGTTTTCTCTACAACTAAATTGTTGTAGAATTCGACACAAGTCAACGTTCAAAATTGGAACAGAGAAATGTAGACAAAAGTTTGTTGAAAAGTTACAAACTAAAACCAAAATTCTCGCTAGTCACTGATTAGCTTTATCCTGCCTTGAATAACCGCGCGAGCTAAGGTCAGTTGCCTAGCAACCCCGTGCTGTTCCTCAGCCGTATTACGTGGATACGCGCGTGTGTTTAATTGCTCATGTTCAACATTGACAAACCGTTTCGTTTTTCATCAGGCTTTTTTTCAAGGCAAGATCAAGATCAAAGGAAACATGGGTCTGGCCTTAAAATTGAGAGAAATTCAACCCAAGCCTGGAAAATCTAAGTTGTAGATACACTCAAGGAGCGTCCAGTTTTCAACCTCGTTCCCAGGATCTCTCATCTCTGCGCCCTACCGGAGTGGTTGGGCGAGAAAATGAGAGACCCTGGGGACGAGATTGGTTCATTTTATGTGTTCGACTTCTAGTTTTGACTTGGAATTCATGTCAAAGTTTCCAGTTAGTATTTTTCTTTTAGCCGCATCGCACTCCAGTTGGATATCTTAACGGGCACTCACTTTGCTGCGACGACGAGCTAATGCTCGCAAAGTCAGCTACACTCACTCGCTATGGCGGTTAACATACCGTTATCAACTTTGAATTAAGAAGCTAATAGTTTCACCAGCTCGCCGACGCACCCCAACAGTTTTTTTATAAGTTCAGTAATTGGCACTAAGGTTAATTTGAGAATAATCGCGAGGTGAGACTCCCACATAAAAAGCACGGGGGTATTCTTCGTACATTTTAGGGGTTAAAAAAGCGGTTTTGGTACATCTTGGAGTGTTCAGCCGCAAAAGGTCCACAGCGGGAGCTTTTAGATAGGTTACACTGTATGATCCCAGTGTTTACACTATATATATACTTTTAACCTTATGTTATAATTTCTATCTTTAAAGTGCGGATTCTTCCAGAAGATGTAATAACAGTTATTGATTTCTACAAAAATTGGACCAAAAATATTTATCAGTATCTTAAAACTTTTTAACTCTAACTTGAAATTCGAACTCGAGCTCGACATTCGAGTTGGAGCTCATTAAAATTATACACTCGAAAATTGTACATTTTGAATTCATAACGGCTGAAATATGTAGTCTAAAGAAACATTTTTCTCAGATGAAGCTAGACGTAAAGTGAATCGAAAGATCGTTTTCATATTGACTGTATACTCTAGGAGGTAAAAACACACGATGACCGTATAATGCAATGTGAGGCCTTGTTAGGGATTTTAGCGACAAGGGATAACTGGCAAAATAAATTTTAGGATAAAGAAAAAGAGAATTAGTTTTTGGGAAACAGGTTTTTGTATTTTTGACACTGAACTCGAGGTGTATGGAAAAAAATTCCAACCTAGACACTTCCAGGGACAATAATGTTGACACTTTGGGACAACATTGTATAGACTGTTAAGGATAACAATGTTGATACTTGTAGGGCTAATATTGTAGAGACTTTTAGGAACAAGGGTAGCACAGACGTGGTTGAAAGAAAGATTAAGATTTGCGGTTTATTATGGTGTTTTGTTACTATATAATATAATGAGTTAAATTTTCTATCCCCAAATGCCCACTTTCTTCTAGACAATTCTACCTCGTTACTGTTGTTAATTGTGTTCATATGACCGTAAGATAAGTACAATTTTGCGACTGCGGTATACAACCCTTATCAGTTTTATTTGATACAAGTACTCTAGATATGTAACTGATATATACAAACGTCTTCAGTCTCTTTCTTCAAAATAAATAGTGTCCTTTATCTTTGATAAACAAAATTAAATTATTATTAACATCTTATTGTTAACTTAGTTTTAAATTAGCCGACTGAACGTGTCATGTCCTCTGATTGGCGGTGGCCATCTTGGATCTTGGCGACGAGAAGAACCTGGCGCCATGTGTGAGAGGAAACTTGAATGAATTTGACAAGTGCTAACACCGCATTAGCGAAATATACAACCTGGGTGGAAGGGGTACTCCCTTCTTTGAGCTTTATGGGTATGTGCGGCCCCAAAGGGTATGGTTTTTTAGCCGTTTAGTCAGAAATAGGGTATCGACGATTTTGGCCATTTGGTCTTAATTAGGGGATGGTTTTTGAACCCTAGTCTTGAATTAGGTATATATTTTAGAAGAAGCTACACTACCCAACAAAAGCATATAAACATTGTCTTTAAAATATCTTAAATTTGGTCAGGTCATAAATGGAGTAGGGAAATTCGCAGGTAAGGGTAAGGGTTTTGGGAAGCGGGCCGCACACCAACAACCAATTTTTCTGAGAGTACCCCTGGCAAGAACTCGACTTGTCATTAACGATTACTTGAGAGATGAGAGTGAATTCACGCTTTCAACACTACTGCTTATAGAACGGAGTCTTGAGTAGCCGGCTTGACTGTGGCAACAATCCTCTTTGCGAAATGACAATACAAGCAACAAACATGATAGAGTGCTTATCGCGAACAGAAAGCCCGCTAACAAAACCAAGTAGTGGCGCGGTAAAACTATTTCGCATTTGTCAGAGGTATTGTAATTGAAGTTTCCACCATTGCGTTCCTGCTGGCATTGTCTGGCGTTGCACTTGAATGAGCATGCTCCGGATAGACACCGCTGTCTACAAAAGGCGACGTCGCTTGTGCACTCCATGTGACAGTTGTGACATTTCTGATGGCATACCCGTGATGAGCACGTGATAACCACGCAGCTTGGATCAGCACAAACCTGGTTGCATTTTGTGAAGGCGTGGTTATTGTCCGTCACGCCGCAATCACATGATCGGTTGTTGCAGCGTTGTAAGCAGGTGTTTGAGACTACCACGTCACATTGTTGTGTCATAGTTACTACAGCCAGAAGTACAGTGAAGATCAAAATCTGACCAAACATGTTCAGTCAAGTCTGAAAGAGAAAGATCACTCGTTAGGTTAACGGGTCAATTAAAATGACTTTTTAATACGAATCAAGACCAAAGTTTTCGAGCTTTCCGAGGAGAAACAGCGATAAACACTATCGAGTTGAAACACAGTCTTCGGACAAAGAAGAGACACTATATTGTCCAGGCCGGGGTTTTTCACCCATTTGTCATACAGGAATTCCCTTTCTATTCAGCTCGGTATTTGGGTAGATTTTTTTTGTACTACTCTAAATCAAATGGCGTAAATATTTCGTCGCTTCAATACAAGTTTGAAATTTTGATCGTGAATCGAACAAACGTTAGATTGACCCTCAGTACAATGTTTCCAGTTAAAGACAATTGAACTGAGACGTTCTGTGTCATGCTGTTTTGAACAGAGCTGAGCGGTCTACAGAGTCGTCGGTTTTCTAATTAGATAAATTACCCAAGTCGTGGAATGCAGATTGTATGCCAGCGCTAGCCTGTGACTACTCCGTGACAAGGGTAAAATAAATCAATTTACTTCTGGCATTCAATTGACGCATTAAATTGTAAGGGC